AGATTTGAGTATTAGTAATAATGTAGGATAGGTTAGTTTGATATTTAATCCATTGTATATACCAAGAATTTATTTTAAAGCTAATGTTAATAAAGGGGACAGGTTGAGATGGGTGTAAAGTAGTGTTAGAATGTGAATTGTTAATTCTTTCTCTCTTTCTTTTTTTTCTTTTTATAAATATCTTTTATATTTTAAAACTTTTATAATTTTTTTATCTATAAAATATTATTATTGTAATTACAATCAATTGGGTTAATTAACTTTCAAGATATTGTGTTACAATTTTCTTTAAATTTATTATTTTTTTTCTTTTTCTTTTTTATTATCTTATTTTTTCTCTTCTTTATATATTTTATTTTTTATTTTTATTTTCTTTATTTCAACAAATAATTCAACAAACAATTGATAAAAGACTAAATTTTCAAAATAATAATAGCAGATACAAAAATTATAATAACAACAAACCAGTACAAAGAAACTATAAATGCAAGAGATGTCAGAAATTTGGACATATTGCTAAATACTGTAAAGCACCTGCTTGCTTTAAATGCTATAAAATTGGACACATAGCTCGAAATTGTTATTTAAATCAAAACTGGAGAAACAACAAGTGCAATAACTATCAATTGCAAAATAATAATAATTATCAATCTCAGAACAATCAATCTCAACAAAACAACAATTTGCAACAAACTGTTTTACAATTAAATAATTCTCAACAAGAAAGATATACTGTTGCTCAACAATTTCTTGAAACAACAAATAATCAAGTTAATATTGAAAAGCAAAAGAATCAAAATAGTAGAATTAATCAAAGTTTTATAACAAAGCCAAAAGAAAATATTACTTCTACTCAAACAAATAATCAACAAAAATCGGATTCAATTCAAGAAGAAACCAATACTTCTACTCAAACAATTAGTCAATCATCAACAATACAAAATAAAGATAATAAAAATCAGTTAAATGATGACACTTTAGAAGATAATATTTCTTATTATCTGGATCAAATAAAGGCTTGGACTAATAGAAAATTTAATTACAAAAGAAAACCAAATTTACTATTCAAATTAAAAATATAATTAAGTAGTATATTAAATACTTTATTCGATAAAATATAAAAATCAAAACAAATTTTTATATTTTTGTTACTTTTACAAACTTTATTATTCTTTATAACAAATATATTCCAATCTATTTATTTCTTTTTATTCTATTCTATTTTTATAACTTCTTTTTTAACTTTTTCTTCTATTTTTTATTCGATTTTTTTTTTTAAAAAAAAAAATTTTATTATATATTTATAACATCCATCATTTTATTTTATTTTATATTATCTTATTTTATTTTATTTTACTTTATTTTATTTATCAAAATAGAGGCATTATTAAACAATGGCTTTTTATTAGAAGCATTACAAGAACTTGAACAATTTTTAACTGAATGGAAAAATAGCCCGACCCAAAAAAAATCTTTACAAGTAATTCAAGACCAATTAACTTTAAAGATTAATGAAACTGAAATAGTAGGAACTTCAACTGAAGAATTTGTTAATCAAATTCCTACAAGTTTCGTTAACAATGAGTTACTATTTGAAGAATTTATTAATGATCAAACCTGGGATAAAGTTTTAACTGAAGACCTTTTAGATACTAACCAAGAACAATCATTAGACCATGACCAAAATAACAGAGTTAAGAAAAAATAAAAAGACATTAATTGTTGATCAAATTATTGAAAAACTGAAAATCGAATGTGAAACAAGTGAAGAAAGAAGCTCACCATTTGAAAATGAAAATAACATATTAACTGCGACCAGAATTATAAACCAAATTCATTGTATTGGAAAACAGAAGGGATACCGGATACAGATAGATCGTTTAGAAGCAGCATTTTATCTGAGAAAACTAAAGAAAGAAAATAAACAAATAATAAA